GGAGGGGAAGACCCTCTATGAGGTGGATTGATTCCGTGAGGATTGATTCAGTGACTGGGGTAATTGGGCTGGGGTAATTGAGATGGGTGTGTCAGAGACAGTGCGATTGGCCACGATAGAGGAGAGTTTAGGGCTGTTGTACATAGGTTAGCTATGAGTCACAAGCAACTCAATAGCACATAACAACGACAACAAATAAGAAAGAAGCTTTATTAAGGGGGCTCGCAGGTGGGATTCCTTGGTCTAGAAAGAGGCAGACAGACCAGAGGAAAACCACAAAGAATGTGATTTCTGATGAACTTTTCCCCCACAGAACTGAACTGGAAGTGGGATATTTCTCCTTCAGGACAGAATCTTTGTAAATAGTCACAATAGGGCTATGTCACCTATGGAATCCAAGAAAGAGCAGACTCTTTCTGGCTCTTTCTAGAAAACTGATGACATCTGTTTTTTTTGTAGATCCTACCCACGGAGCAGGGCTTGAAGAAAGTGACTCAGCTTGTGGCCACCTACCCTCAGAGTTTTAAGATCTGGTTCGGACCCATCCATCCCATTCTCAGTCTGTGCCACCCTGATGTCATCCGGCCCGTTGTCAATGCCTCAGGTAACCAGGAGGAGCTTGTGGTGGTGGATGGCATTGCAGCATCTGAAGCTACTGCCTTTTTGTTCTCTAGTCTCTTGTTCTCCACAGGGCTTCAGCCTTTCTTTTAATCTTCTTTCTTTTTCTTTTGTGCCTCTGCCGGTACTTAACTCACTCCCTTCTAGAGTTCTAAATTCAGCACCGATTCCAGAGGGAACCCCTACTCATGAGGAGAAAGATGTGAGGACAGAAAGACTCTTAATTCATGTGGCCAAGACTGGGGCTATATGGAGAGACAAGTTGGTGCAGCTTAAATCAGAAGGAAAGTTTGTGCTGGGGCAGGCAGGATGTAAAACTTCCAGAGGAGAGGTTGATGGAACTCAGTGTGAACCAATGAGTAGGACATTTTTCAAGCAGGAATAGGATGGTAGAGTGGGTACTAGCATCTTACAAGTCTTTTTTTCCAGAACCACCCCCTGTACATTCACCCCTGATGGTGAGGGGGTCCTGGACAAATATTTCAGTAATGTTTGCCTTTGATGTGTCAGTATCTTCTACTGTATTCTGAAAATTGTCCATCTAAAGTTAGTAATTCCTCCCCTGCTTCAGGCCCCCAGATGTCTCCCCACCTCATCTCTGCTCCCTTCTTTCACTCTATACCTTTTGCATCCTTGCTAAGAGAATGAGATCTCAGCTCAGTCACTAACCTGTCTGATGACTCTGGGCACGTCTCAGACTTCTTCAGTTGGTGAAGTGACTTTCATATGTGAGTAGTGAAAACTGAACCTTGTGTAGCCCAAGCAAAGAAAGGAAATCTATTGGCTGAAAAGTCCAGGAAGAGTAGTCTTCAGGCAGGGCTGGATCCAGATCTCTAATAATTCCTCCAAGTATCTATCTTCTCCTCTTGATTATAAATTCAGTTTTACCTTCAAGGCAGCTTTTTCCTCACATTGTATGAATGATCCAAGAAGTTCTGATTTCCCTTACCTCCTCTGTTCTTCCTCTGCGCTTGACTTCATCCCTGCTATGCTGGACTTTGAAAAGGGTGACGATCTCTGGCTGGGAGCTCACATCCCAACTGTAGGTCATACCTTATTCTTATCTATGGCCTCTCATGGCATTCAATCATGTCAGCTGCCATTGCCCCCAAGGATATGGTCTTCTACAGCTTTCTGAAACCCTGGCTGGGTAAGTAACCACAGATGAACGAACGGATTGGGGACCATCCTGGGGTTCAGAGGAAGATGTCACCCTTGTTCACTGTCCACGGATGCCTCTACTAGGAGATGGACTCCTGCTGAGTGAAGGTGAGAAGTGGACCCACCACCGCCACCTGCTGACACCTGCTTTCCACTTCAATATTTTGAAGCCATATGTGAAGATCTTCAATGAGAGTGTGAACACCATGCATGTGAGTCCTGTGAGTCAAGACCCTGATGGAGCCTTCTAGGGTAGCACTATATAGAGAGTTGGTTGGAGTTCTGGTTCTGCACGGTTACACTCTTCTTCTCTCAGGCTCAGTTACCTCATCTCTAAATTATCAATAATTACACACAAAGTGAAGTGTGTTTATGATGACACAATGGAATAATACCCGTGGCATATAGACAGTATGCAGATGGTTGATGTTCTAGGAAACATTAGAATCTTAAGACAGTGTTAATAGTGAAAATTGCATGGTAGACTTACTGAGTAATGAACCACTTTGAAACGCATTGGCTTAAAATAATTAGCACCTGCAATTCTCATGAGTTTACTACCCAGTGAGGCATGCTTCTAGTCTTCATTGGGGTTCTCTGGTGCATCTGCGCATGTGGATCACGTAGGAGCTCTGCTGGTTCAACCTGAGCTCTTTTACATGTTAGAGCCTCAGGTGACTGGAAGGATGGCCAGCTGAGACAACTGTCTTTCTCTGTGCAGTTCCTTGTGTTCTAACTATCAGTTCAAGCATGTTTACTGGTGAAAGTATGGTTTTTAAGAGAGTGAAGGTAAAATATGCAATGATTTTTAACGTCTATGGGAAGTATGAGAAGTGTGGCATCAGGATTGGTGGAAGTTCCATCAACAATCTGCTTTATGCAGATGACACAACCCTGCTTGCTGAAACTGAGGAGGACCTGAAGCGCTTGCTTCAGAGGGTCAAGGACTCAGCCTTCAATATGGGTTGAGGCTCAATCTCAAGAAGACAAAGATTCTCACCACTGGGCCAATTGACAGCATCAGGATGGATGGTGAAGAGATTGAGATTGTTCATAGCTTTAGTTTTCTTGGCTCCACAGTCAACACTCTCAGCACCAGCAGCCAGGAAATTAAAAGGCATATTGCCATGGGAAAGTCTGCTGTTAGGGACTTCTCTAAAGTACTGAAGAGCAGCGGTGTCTCTCTGGAGACAAAGGTGCATCTGATACAGGCCATGGTCTTTGCAATCACTTGCTATGTGTCAGAGACTTGGACAATGACCAAAGAGGATAGAAGGAGAATTGATGCTTTTGAGTTGTGGTGCTTTAGAAAAATATTGAATATACCACGGACTGCTAGAAGAACAAATAAGTTTATCCTAGAGAGAGTGAGACCAAGCTGCTTCTTGGAGTCAAGGATTTTGAAGATTCATTTGACATACTTTGTATATGTTGCAAGGCAGGATCAGTCCTTGGAGAGGTATGTCATGCTTGGGAGAGTGATGGGAGAGCACAAGAAAGGAAGAGCCTCAATGAGATGGAGTGATTCAGTGACTAGGGTAATTGGGGTAGGTGTATCAGAGACAATATGATTGGCACAGGATAGAGCAGCATTAGAGCTGTTGTATATAGGGTCCCTATGAGTCGCAGGAGACTTGATTGCACACAGCAGCAACAACAACACTCACCCCCTAATTGATTTATTTTTGCTGTTATTTTGTATTTATGTTAGTTTGCTCACAAAGTTCATATACATTGTGTTTTGTACTGTTCTTCATATTCATATTGTACTTCATGCAATCACTGCCATGCATTATGTTTTATAAAATCAGTCACCATTGTACTTCATGCAATCACTGCCATGCATTATGTTTTATAAAATCAGTCACCATTGGACTTTACCCATTATTACCCAATCTTTTCAGGTCCCTGCTAGATCCTTCCTGTTTCCCTCTCCCCTTCTTCCCTCTAATGAACTGTGCCACCCTGTGGTTTCTCGTCTACCTGTCCTCACCCCTCTGTTCCCACTCCTTACCTCCTTATATCCTCATATATGTCTTAGTAGCTATTCTTCTATTTTTACAATAATGGTCTTATGCAGTATATATCCTTTTGAGACTGAGTTAGTTCACTAAGCAAAATGCTCTCAAATCTCTCCCACGTTATGTAGTATTTTTCAAAATCATTACTCCTGAGTGCTGCATAGTATTCCATTGTGTAGATGTATCACAATTTCTCTATCCATTCAGTTGTGTTTGGACATTTGAGTTGTTTCCATGATCTTGCGATGGTGAATAAAGCTGCTAAGAACATTGGTGTACAGATCTCTGTGTCTCAGTTCTAATTTCCTTGGGGTATATTCCTAATAGTGGAATAGCTAGGTCATACAGAGTGTCTATGTCCAACTTTTTTAGGAAATGCCTACACTGTCTTCCAGAGTGATTGTATCATTTTACAACCCGCCAACATGAGAGTTCTTATCTTTCCACATCCTCTCCAACATTTATTGCTTGCTGCCCTGCTAAACTTTACCACTATCCCTGGGGTGAGATGGTATCTCATTGTGGTTTTGATTTGCATCTGTCTTATTGCCAGTAATTTTGAGCATTTCTTTATGTGTCTGTTGACTATCTGGATGTCTTCTTCCATGAAAAGTCTTTCTATGTCTGTTGCTCATTTTCTAATTGGATTATCAGTCTTTTACTTCTGGAGGTCCAGGAGTATTCTGTAAACTTTTGTTAGAGATTTTTGACTGAGCTGGTATTGCCAAATGTTTGTTCTCAGTCAGTAAGTTTTGTTTTCACACTATTGAGAAAGGTTATTAATGAACACAGAGATTCAGTCTTTAGAAGACCCCATTCATCAGTTTTATCCTCTTCAGATTATGCATTTATTGCTGTATTTGGCAGTCTATTTATACCTTAGATTAGGCCTTCTAAGTTTGATGCCAGTTTGTCTCTTATGAACTTTATGGTTTGGGGCTTTACTCCTAGGTCTCGGATTCACCTATAGTTTATTTTTGTGTATGGTGTGAGATGTGGATTCTGTTTCAGCTTTCTGCAGTTAGCAGGCCAGTTTTGCTAGCACTATTTGTTGTCATTTCCCAATTTGATAAGTTTTATTTCCTTGTAGAATATCAGTTGACGATAGATAGATGGGTTCATTTCTGAGTTCTCAATTCTGTTCCATTGGTCTATGTTCCTGTCATTACACCAGTACCATACTATTTTGGTTATTAACACTTTGTAGTAGCTTTTGAGGTCAGGGAGTGCTATGCCTCCCACTTCATTTTTGTTTTTCAGAAGTGCTTTGCTTATGTGGGGTCTCTCTTCTCTCCAAATAAACTTGACACTTTCCTTTTCAATTTATCTGAAAAATCAATTTGGTATCTGTATTGAGGGATATCATGCTTGGGAGGGTGGAGGGATGGCGCAGGAGAGGAAGGCCCTCTATGAGGTGGATTGATTCAGTGACTGGGATAGTTGGGATGGGAGTGTCAGAGACAGTGCGATTGGCACAGGACAGAGCGGAGTTTAGGGCTGTTATGAGTCGCAAGCGACTCGATGGCACATAACAACAACAAACATTGATATTGTGTTGAACATGTAGATTTCTTTTGTAGGATTGTCACTTTCACAATATTGAGCCTTCCTATCCATTCACTGGACACATTTCTCCATTTCTTTAGGGCTTTTATTGTGTACTGCAGAAATGTTCTGTAGTTTTCTTTGTACAAATCTTTTATGTTTCTAGTTAAGTTCACGCCCAATTGTAAATGGTAATGCTTTCTTGCTTTCCTTCCCTGAGTTCTCTTTTAGGGATCACACTGATTTTTGGAAATTAATCTTGTATCCTGACACTCTGATAAATTGGCCTACAAGCTCTAACAGTTTTTGTTGTTGTTGTTGAGTCCTCAGGGGCTTTCTGTGTACACTATCATATCATCTGCTTATAGCGACAGTTTAACCACCTCTTTGCCCATCTGGATGCCTTTTATTTCCTTCTCTTGAAATCTATGTAGAATAAAGATACTAATGATAACAGTGATACAAGATAGCATGATTGAGGACTCAAAATGTTTCAGACACTATGAGCCCTATCATGATATATACTAACAAATTCAGTCCTTAAAATTTTATGAGTTAGGGAAAGGAGAGAGCGAGAGAGCAAGAGAGAGAGCGAGAGGAGAGAGAGAGGAGGGAGGGAGAGAATAAGGAAGGGAGAGGGAGAGGGAGAAGGAGAGAGAGAGAGAGAGAGACTATTTTTTCACCACTACAGGTGATTATTGACACAGTGCCTTCAACAATGGATTCAAACATTAAAATGATTGTGAAAATGACCCAGGATTGAACAATGCTTGTTCTGTTGTATATAAGATTGTTTGTAGTTGAATGAACTTAATAATGCCTGACGATAGTAACAGCACAATGACTCAAAAAGATTAGGCATCTTGTATACGCTCACTCATCTGGTAAGTGGGCGAGTCAGTGATGCAGCTGGCATTCTGGTCTGTTTTCTATGGCACTGAGGAAAGGTATCTTAGTTGTTGAGAACATTCCATAATTGGGACATGATTGAGGAGTGTAAAGACTTGATAAGAGAACATAGAACACAAGAGACAGAGCTGAGACTTGAATCTAGGTCTCCTGACTCCCAGCAATAGGGTTTTTGTATCTTTGAAGAATTGATGCCTTTGAGTTGTGGTGTCAAAGAAGAATATGAATATACCATGGATTGTGAAAAGAATTAAGAGATATGTCTTGGGGGGTAAATGCAGTCATAGTGTTCCTAGGAATTAAGGGTAATGAAGCTTTGTTTCACATATTTTGGGCTTGTTGCTAGGAGAAGCTATTTGTTTGAAAGGTGGATGTCAAAGAAGGAGAGGTAGATTCTCAATCAGATGGATTGACACAATTAGTGAAGCAATCATCGCAAGTGTGTCAAAAATTATGTCTAACACAGACAGGATAGGATAGGGTGAAGGTCTGTTGTTTGTGGGGTCACTATGAATCATACTCAGTTCCATAGTACCTAACAATAACAACAACGACAACTTCCACTATTAAGGGTATTCTACTTTAAGGATGAGTGGTTGAGTGGAAAGAAAGGAGGTCAGGCCAAGTGGACAGCCTGAAGTCCAGTCAGCTCAGAAGAAACATTTTCAGTGACCCTGAGATGACAATAATTTTCACTGGCACAATGAATGCATGCTTGATGGCATTCATTATCTGACAGCAAGTTGAGAAGAGTCATGCATGTAGGATCACTGAACCAGGACTTAATAGGAATGGCATTGTCTGGGTAGCTTGCATTTAAATGTGGAGCTGATTTTGATGTCGGCAGCCCCAGAGGATGCCCTTTGTGCTCTTTTTCTCAACAGGCCAAGTGGCAGCACCTGGTGTCTGACGGCAGAGGGCATCTGGACATGTTTGAACACATTAGCCTAATGACCCTGGAGAGTTTGCAGAAATGTGTCTTCAGCTTGGACAGCCACTGCCAGGAGTGAGTCTTATGCCTGGATCAGAGAACTCGAATCATTAGTAAAGGGAGTAGTTTGTTAGGGAAAACCTGAAGAGGCTTTCAGGAGGAGGTGGGACAGAGGTGAGCCATTAAAGAACAAGAAATGGGAGAGATATAATGTCCCTTGAGGTTAGCTGAAATTGTTGACTGAAAGTTTCTTTTTAAAAGAGTCTTTTTAACAGAACATGAGTAAGGGGCGGTGAGAAGACACCATGGAAATTAGGTCAGAGTGATGAGCAGGTTCTAGATCTCATGGTTATGAAAAGCTTGGGTAAAGAGGTATGATTTTTACCTTTATCTCCACGGAGTCACTGAAGATGTTTTAGCAAATGAAGATATGGTCAGAGTTGAGCTTTACAAATCTCCACTCTGTTGTTGTGTGTCATTGAGTCAGAATTGACCCATCACTGACTTAACAATGGATTTTTAGAGTTAATAAATCACATGAGAGGAGAGGGCTCATCATTCTCTTATAAACAAGCTTCTTATCGCTAAGTCACCAGAGGTCCCTAATCTAACTTACGTAAGACCGTGTGTTGTATAGTCATTGGCTGGTATTGACATTGAGTAGAAGGAGACCTAGCAGACAACTGAGTCAATGGGCCATTTGGGCAAGGATAAAGTGTTAGCTGTGTGGACAATTTGGGAAAGAGTAAGGTAGGTAAGCATAAAACATGTGATACTTAAGTTCTTCAGGTTCCTGGGCTCCCAGAAAGGAGAATATGCAGAGAGAAGAAATTATGAAAAGTCATACCACACTTGTCTAGGGCCAATGCCTCCAGAATGTTGTTGCCTGGTGGGGGACAGTGATGGTTTCTGGGTGGCAGTTACGCCATGAGCTTTAAGTAAGGAAGTTGCCTCATTCCTTCTCATGTCATCCCACAGGAAGCCCAGTGAATTTATTGCTGCCATCTTGGAGCTCAGTGCCCTTATATCAAAGAGGCTCCAGCAGATCCTCATGCACTGGGACTTCCTGTACTACCTCACTGCTGATGGGCAGCGCTTCCTCGAAGCCTGCCGCCTGGTGCATAACTTCACAGATGCTGCCATCCAGGAGCGGCGCTGCACCCTCTCAGAACAGGGTGTTGATGACTTCCTCCAGGCCAAGGCCAAGGCCAAGACTTTGGATTTCATTGATGTACTTCTGCTGAGCAAGGTGAGTGTGCCAAGCCAGCAAGACGTCAATTTCAAAGTCAGATCAGAAAGCGTGAATGTAATCCAGAGGATACTGGGGAACCACAGGAAGTGCATGAGAAAGGAAGGGCCATGCCTGAGAAATTTTGGAGATGATATTACTGAATGCAACCAACAAGCACTGCTAAATTTGCAACTGTGAAATGCCTGAGATTTTACTCTCCTTGTTGTATATATCATTGAGTTGGAACTGACTCAGAGCTGACCCTCCAGCAGGTTTTCAGGTCAGTAAACTGCATGGGAGAAGATTGCCCGTCTTTCTACCATACAGTAGCTGGTGGATTCAAACCATGTGACTTTTAGAAGCTAACAAATTAGGCAGCCACAACATGTCTATGTTTATTTGACATATGTGTTTGTTCTTAGTGTTGCACCCGCTATTATTCACATGTGTATTAAAATATTATCCGTTCTCTTGTATTATCCATTACTCATATGCATATTAAACTGTTATCCATTCATGTGCTATCTTCACATTTGTTGGTGTACTTGTATCTATTGTTGTGGGGTTCATCTTTCCCTACTGTACTGGATAATGTTCTGTTGTGACCACAGTGTTTTCACTGACTGATTGTCAGAATTTAATCATCGGGCCTTTTTTCTTTATCTGTGTCAGTCTGGAAGCTCTGCTGAAACTTTTCAATCCTGTGTGACTCTGTTGGGATTTGAAATACTCTTGGTATGGCTTCCAATATCATAACAACACGACAAACTGACAGATAAGTGTGTAGACGCTGTTGAGTTGATTCCCAGGCATAGAAAACCTACGCAGTATTGAACAAAATATTATTCAGTCCTATATTGTCCTTACACCTGCTGTTGTGCTCGAGCCTGCTGTTGCAACTACTGTGTCAATCTATCCTGTCGAGAATCTTTTTCTGTTTTGCTGATCTTCTACTTTAACAAGCACCATGTCCTTCTTCAGAGATGGCTTCTAGTGATAACTTGATTAAAGTGTGTGAGCTGAAATCTCTCTGTCCTTTCTTTTAAGGCACATTCTGGCTTCACTTTTCCCAGGACATATTTGTTCCTTGCACAATGGTGTACTGAGTATTCAACAACAGTACAGTTGACGTGAATCAATTCTCCAATCTCCCCTATTCACTGTAGAGGTTATGGGAAAGATCACGGCTTAGGTCACATACTACCTTGTCCTCAAAGTGACATCCTTGCTTGTAAGCACTTTAAAGTGGTTCCTTGAAGCAAATTTTCCCTGTGCGATAGTCCATTTCTCGACTGCTGTTTCAATAGGTGTTTATTGTGGATCTATGTAAACTTAGTTGCCTGACAACTCCAATCTTCATTCTGTTTATCATGATGCTGCTTACTTAACCACTCGTGGAGATTTTTGTTTTAGTTACCTTGATTTGCAACGTGGTTGCTGTGAATCTGAACACTATGACACTGATGAGTCAAATGTGAGAATGGTTACCCATGGTGGACAGTGTCGGTGAAGGTCCCTGATTAAAACAAGCTTGGAAGCAGGAGCGGCATCCAGTTTCATAATAGCTTGCCCCTGGAAACCCTATGAAAGTGGAGAAAGGACAAAAGTTATACAGGAAGTGTCCAGGACTTTCGTTCATAGGGTCGCTATGAGTCGCCTGAGACTCGAGGGCAATTAACAACAACTGAAGACTGGGGTTTCCCCCCCTTTATAATATCTTCCTTTTATTTTCTTCTCATTTTTAAAAAAAATAAGTTTAATGAAAGTTTACAGAGACTTAGGATTTCCAGTCATTCATTGTTGTACTTTTCTCCCTGCCCACCCGCCCCCCCCAATCCACTCTTCTTCTCCAAAAGAAAACTCTTTCATTGATATGCAATCCCTCTCCCCAAGTCCACTCCACTATGGAGCCTTCATTCTGGCCTCCACTCATGACAATAATACTCAATCATATATCCCTTTTAAACAGTTCTCTCACTCATCTGTTTCAATACAATATACATCATTCTTCCCTTCCTTTTCTGTCTTCCCTCAACCCCGATGTCAGTCCTGTTTTACAACAGTGGCCCTATGCAATATTTGTCCTTTTGTGACTGAGATATTTCACTCAGCAAAATGTCCTCCAGGGTCATGCATTTTGCATATTTCATGAGTTCCTTGTTTTTCAATGCTGCATGTATTCCATTGTGTAAATATACCACAGCTTCTCTATCCATTCGTTTGTTGATGGACACTTGGGTTGTTTCCAGCTCTTTGCTATTGCAAACAAAGCTGCAATAAACATGGGTGTGCATATATCTGCTTGGGTAACAGTTATGGTTTCTTTAGGGTAAATTCCCAGTAGTGAAACTGCTGGGTCAAATGGTATTTCTATTTGCAACTTTTTGAGAAAGTGCCATACAGCCTTCCATAGTGGTTGCATCATTTTACACTCCCACCAGCAGTGAATAAGGGTTCCAGTTTCTCCACAACCTCACCAGTATTTGTTGTTTGCTGTTCTGTTAAATTTTGCTATTTTTACTGGGGTGAGATGGTATCTCATAGTTGTTTTTGAAGACTAGTTTTTTAGCTTCATCAATACATGTTTCAAACCTTCATTTGCAGTAATCAATGTTGTATTATCTGTATATTCCTAAACCTCTAGTCATGATGATAAATTCTTCTTCTTAAAATTAAGCTTCTTGAATTATTTGCCCAGCATACTGATTGAATAAGTGTGGTGAAAAGATAGAACCCCGACGTTCCCCTTTCCTGATATTATACCTTACAGTATTCCCTTATTCAGCAGTCCCCTTCAAGACAGCTTCTAGGTTTCAATACAGGTCGATATGAGAACAATTAAATGTACTGGTATTTCCATTCTTCTCAATGTTACTAATCATTTGTTATAATTCACATAGATGAATATCTTTGCATGGTCAATGAAACACAGGTACATATCTTTCTAGTATTCTTTACTTTCAACCAAGGTCCATTTAACATTAGGAATTATATCCCTCATTTCATATCTTTTTCTGAATATAGCTTGAATTTCTGGCTATATATATACTGCTCCAAATGCTTTTAGATTATCTCGAGCAAGATTTTACATGTGTGTTTGTAAGAGAGAGATAGAGAGCTGTTAATAATATCTGTAGATTTCTTTCTATCACCAACGATGTAGTTTCCAACTACTTAGCCTTCTTTATCTTCACCTTTTGCATTCCAGTCAGTCGTAATTGTCAGTGCATCTTGATTTCATTTTTGGTCAATTTCGAACTGCAAAAGTTGGTTGTTGTTTTTGTCATGTGTAATCATGTAGAAACTGACTTATAGCTGACCCCTCCTTCTGTAGGCTTTTAGAGGCTTTAAATCATACAGGAGGAGATTGCCCATCTTCTGCAGAGGAGCTGGTAGATTTGAATCTCTTGCCTTTGGGTTGACTGTACAACTCCTTATCCACTAGGCCACCAGAGCACAAGTTGGTAGACATCTTTCATTTCTTCCATCTTTAGCTTTAGTTATTGGTGAACAAATTTGAAGAATAGTGTATTATCAAGTCTTCCTTGTATGTGTATGGATACTGTCTTATCACTGATAGCATTATATTCAGAAAAGATCTTGAAATATTAATAAATTTTCTCTTTGATTTATTGTCCCCATCATAAAAACAGTATGATTGTCTGATTGAAAATGGACAATATCAGAGCTTTCAGCTCACTAATACCTAGTGTATTATGTGTTCTCTTTAATTTTTATATTTTTCAAGTTTTCTAGGCTCATGCATCCTATATTTCACTTCTTGATTACCAGTAGAATTTTGCAGTTTTCTTTTCATTTTGAGTTTTACTATATCAGTAATATATATCAGTAATAAAGTTTATTCCACCTCTATCAGTAAGACAGACTCTATTTTGAGGTATTGAATATTAAGGATTAAAGATCAGACAAACTGTGGGATATAATAAAATATATTCATGAAGATTGTTACAGAGACAGAAGAGAAAGAAAAGATAAAAATGAATATCAGAAAAAGACTCTGAATATTGTACTAAAATATAGAGAAGCCAAAACAAAGGGAAGAAATTAGGAAATTAAAGAGTTTAA